TTTTTTTTTTTGGGCACCGTTCTCGGTGACTTGGTCATTACGGGAAGGAAATGCCACATTGGAAATTGGCCGGGCAATTCGAGGGGGGGGCGGGTTCAACAGGGACTCCGCGCGAACCGCGCGGTCGGCCCGTCGCCAAAAAGCCGCGACGACCCGATACGGCGATGGCAAAGTGCGCCAGCAGACCGAAGTAGCAAACGCTCGTTCATCACGCGCGGCAAGTTTGCCACATGTCTCACCTGAGCGCCACTGCAAACAACTTGGACAAAGTGAAGCGGTCGCTGCTGTTACTGGGAAAGATGGCGGCCAGGATGAGCGTGAACATGCCTGAGGGCAGACGGGGGGAGGAGAGCAAGCGTGCGTTAAAACGAGCAGCAGAGCCGCGCTCATCCTGTTGACTGTGAGTCACCTGACGTGGACGACAAAATGTTGACAATGGCCACTTGTCTGTCGGAGAGCGCTTCCTGATAGGACAGGTTGGCCAGGAACCACTGCCCGGGGGAGAAAGGCGAGGAGCCTCGGTCAAACAGCCCGCGCGCTCAAAGCGCGCCGTTTGTCGCTTTGCAATCTCACAAACAGTTTCGCGGCGTCTTCATCGAAGACTTCCGATGCCCTTCCGCCCGAATGCGCAACGGATCAAAACGCTCAGCCGCTCTCGAGTCCGCTTTTTGTCTAGCTTTCGTCACTGTGATGACCGAGGGGAGCTCAGGCGCCGTGACCACCCCCCCCCCCAAAAAAAAAGGGGGTTGGGGGGACAGGTGGAGGCAGTCCCCATCCCCCGCCGATAGACAACTTAGTCGGACGTTTGAGTATGTGCTATTCTTTGGACGCAAAGGCGAACACGTGGCAGCAATACAACCGCGTTGTGCAAACGACCTGACGCGGCAGCTCCGAAGGGCTCGCTCACTCGCTCGCTCGCTCATCCCGAAAGCAGCAAAGACTCCGACGTGATCTGGACGCACCACAAAGCAGAAAAAGAAGCTGATCTTGGCCACGTCGGCGATGGTCAGCTTGCCCACCGTGCGCATCATGGCCTCGTGGTCCTTGGCGGCCGGGTAGGACATGCGGGACAGTTTGGCCTCCAGGGCTTGCGTGGAGGGCAGCTGGCGCACCTCCATGATGTTGCTAAAACGCACCCGCTGCTTTTTACAAGCCGCTGGGACAAAAGCGGGAAAAGTTTAAAACCATTGCTGCACCGAAGCGGATGGGCGACGCCCACTCACCGGGTTCGCAATCGGTGTCCATCAAACAGTTGGCCGGATCGGCGGGGACGTCCTGAAACTTGACGGGCACGTACAGTGGTTCACTCTGCGTGAAAAAGGAGACCCCCGTTGGTTGGATCAACTCTGCCAAACGCACTCCGACCCACAACAACACTCGGTACCGACAGCGCTGGATCTTTTTTTTTTTTTTTT